CCCGGCAAGGATGGCGGCGACCCGTGCACGAGAGATGGAGGTCTTCGATCAGATCCGGGTGAAAACCTGCTATTGGCTATTGCCAAGGCCGGCGATGGCGACGCTGTCTGCGTCGTTCCCCTCCTGAAGGCATCGTCGTGGAGATGTTCAAGGCCACTCTCTGCTACCTCCGGGGGAAACCCTAGATCAGTAGATCGGATGGCGGCGGCTCTCTGGTGTCGTCTTCCCCCCTGGGGGCGTCATTCTTGGAGGTGCACACGGGCTCGAGGGACTAGAGGACGGCGACGTTGGTGGAGCGGAGCTTCATCTTTCACATTGATGATGGCGGATCTCGGCGGCATGGTGCTGTGGAGACTCGGCGTCTGATGCGCGGAGATGGACTCGTGCAGGAGGAGGAAGCTGTCTGGCGTCATGGGGACGTCGATGGCAGACTGGCCAGACAAGGTAGAAGCCTCAATTTGATCTGAAGACGGACCTGTGGAAGATGGCGGCGACGACACACGAGTGCGTCTGACCGGATTGCGCCCCAGACCCAGTATGTGGCTCGGCTAGGGTTACCGAATGAGTTTCGGCTTCCGGCTTTTGATGTTAGGCTTAGGTGAGTGGTTTGGGTAGTGGCCCAGCTAGCACCCCCTCATCATATGGGATAGGAGTAGCGGCACATGTTGCCAAGATGGTGGATTCAGACACATTGTTGTAATACTTTGTATGGTTATCGAGAATAATCAATAAAGTGGCCGTATGCATCTCCCAGATGCAGAGGCCGGGGGTCATCCTCCTTTTCTAAAAAAAAAAAGATGGTCCATTATTTTTTTCTTTGGCGGCTGCTGTGGTGGTGAGAGAGGCAGGTGAATGACGTCGGTGTCAAGCCCAATCGGGCCCGCAAAGCCTCGGCCGATGCAGCAGGCCGGCGCCAGCGCCGCCACTTGTTTTGTCCCCGTTGGTCAATGTGTAGAATTGCTGCAATTGGCATCCAGTAGGGGCGGAGTTGGAACCAGCGAGCGGGTGGAGCTGCATCCAAAAAAGCTGCAATAGGAGATGGGACGGTGACCGCCGGCAAGTTACAGCGAGCTTGGACGGCGTCTCCACTACGACCGCTTGGGAGGAGGTAGTGCCGCACAGGGCGTGCTGCTCGTGTAATTTTCACGCGTCGGGATGAGGGCAGCGCTGCAGGAGGGGCGAATCCATGGCGTGATTCCTATGGGGGATTGGTAGCGTTGACTGGATAATAATAAAAAAAGACTGAAATCGGACGGCAATGTAATATCTAATCTGAGACAGCCGGCCGGCCGAAACTGAAATCTGACGGTCATGTAATATCTAATCGAACGCTCGGCAGCCGACAGGCCGAAAGTTTCGGCCAGCGCCTGTCAGCCGCCTATTATTATTACTTACTAATAAAGCAATATGTGTTTCTTCAATATTTTCATCTGTTCATCGTTGAAAATAATTTTTTTCCTATCAAAGGTGGTACTAATTTTATTTATTTTTTTAGGTGAACTAGGGATTTTATTCAAAAGATAACACAGAAGGAATACAAGTGATGTTCGGTAGGATCCCTAGCCACAAACGGCGACCAGAATGGAGAGCTGAAGCAGCCTTTGCAATGGCATGAGCTTCAGCATTGGCCTCCCTACACTCATATCTAAAGCTAGCACTCCCAAAATCTTTCATAGACTCTCTAATTTCACTAATAACTACAGCACAAGATGATAGCACATTCCCCCTGATGTCCGAGACCACTTGCATACAATCAGAACCTATGGTCACATGTGAGAGGTTGAGGTCCTTTGCCAGAGCTAGTGCCTCGCTGCATGCAAGTGCTTCCAGATTCGCTGCATCAACCAAACCATCAAAGGTGACAGCTGAAGAGCCCAAATACCTCCCTTCCTTGTCCCTGCTTATCGCCGAGACTGCACCCATTTTGCCGTTCCGCGAGATTGCACCATCCACATTGATTTTAACTGCCTCCCCCTCTGGCGCCATCCACCTGTGGGATCGCTGCTGTGGTGGCCGTCCAGCTGCAGGTTTGCTCACATAGACAATGTCAAGGTCCTCTAGGTATCTGTTGATAAAACACATAGTGGACAAGGGACTTTGAAATTCTTCATCATGGATCGCTCTCCTCCTTGCCCACCAGATGGCCCACATGGTGACCAAAACTTTTGCCAACTCCTTCTGGTCCAATGTATCAAACAGCCAAAAGAGCCACAATCTGGGATCATCGGAGTTATTAGATAGCACATGCTCAACGGTCTCCTCATCGCCCAGCGCCCACACGCACCTTGCCATCCGGCAGTCAAAAAGCGAGTGTCTCCAAGTA